AGGGGTGGGGGGACTTATAAACAAAAGAAACATTTCTCATAGTTCTGGAATCCAACAGCAAGGCATCAGCCTGGTCAGGTTTGCAGCCAGTGGTTCTTTCCTATGTCCTCATCTGGTGCAAGGGCTCAAGGAAGGTCCTCTGGTGGCTTTTATAAGAACACTAACCTCATTCATCATGACCTGATCAGCTCCCAAAGGCCCCTCCTCCTGACACCATCACCTTGGATGTTAGGATTTCAAAATAGGAATTTAGGGAAGGTAGGTAAAAGCATTCAACCAAGCCAAGAGGAAATATACATCTAGAGGCAAGTGTATGAAGAATTCTGGAAGGACAGACAAGAGAGTTGTAATAGAAATTGTCTTCTGGAAAGGACTGGGAAGATGTGAATGGACACAGAAGTGGGAGAAATACTTAACGGACATCCTTGGTGGCCTAGGGGTTAAGTCTCAGCGCTATTACAGCTATGGCCTGAGTTCAATCTCCGGCCAGGGAGGTTACCCACATATCGTGCAACAGACCTCTCCTGCCTTGCCCTTTGCTTCCCTCAGCAGTGTCTTTTGGTAGATCTGTCTGTTCTGCTCCTTTCTCTGTCACTGGTGAGTCCTCTCACCACCCTCCACCCTGCACCTCTGGCATACACCCCAGTTCTTCTACACATAAATAAATAAATAAAAGACTTAACTTATAGTTTTGGTGTTTGAACCGTGATGATATGGTATTGCTTTTAAAAATCTGAGTATTTTTATTTTGAAAAACTTAAGAATTATTCCTTGCTATTTGAAAGTTTTATTTCTTCTTGAACTTGTATTTCCTTTCTTCACCAAAAGACTCCTTTCCCAATAAAATATACTTGAAAGGTTTTAAAAATTAATCATCTGATCATTAATCATCTATAACAAAAATGTTTTATTTTTAAGATTTATTTTATTTATTTTTTTAAAAGATTTATTTATTTATTTATACAAGCACTGGGTACAGTCAGAAGGGTGGGAGGGTAAGAGAATTCACCAGAGCCAGAGAGGAGAGCAGAGCAGGCAGAAGGACCGAAGTATACTGCTGAGGGGAGCACTGGGAGCGGCAGGAGAGGTCTGCGTGCCATGTGGGACCCTCGCCTGGCAGCCAGGGATCGAACTGGCGCTGCAGAGGCTGCGGGCAGCTTCGCAACCCAGCGCTCAACCGCTGCGCCACCGGGGAGGCCCTTAAGATTTATTTTTATTTATGTAAATAAGAACTGGGGTGTAGGCCAGAGGTGTGGGGGGTGAGAGTATTCACCAGAGACAGGGTGGGGAGCAGAACAGGCAGATGCACTGAAATACTCTGCTGAGGGGAGCAGTGGGCGGTGAGACAGGAGAGGTCTGCTGGGCCATGTGGGTCAGCTCCCTGGCTGGGATTGAACTCCTTCCCCAGTGGCTGGTGATAGCTTGACAGTGGTGACTTTAACCAGGGAGTTACTACCAGGGAGCCCCAATATATGCTTTTTTTTTTTTTTTTAAAAAAAAGGATAGATTGTTCTCAATGAAGATGCAAAGCTACTAAATGCAATGCTTGCCCCAAAATTGCGTGAAAGTGAAAAATTGGATCAGATTTGGAGAGTAAAACTCAGCTGGCTATGCTTGCTAGCTGCAAGGAAATAGCCCTTCTCCCAAGGACACTGGGCAGCTGCAAAGTGACTTCCTTCTTTGAGTGACCACTGAAAAACTGTAAAAATGAGAGACAGTCACGAATCTTGCATTTGGAAATCATATCCATGCAAGTGAAATGTCTGCCTCTTGCCTGGGAGATCTAAGTCACTTGGAGACAGACAAACTGCAGGATGTACAGCCCAAGCTCAAAGGGAAGGCCTTCTGAACCATCCATATGGAGCTAACTTGGCACTTTCAGGGACTAGTCCCTGGGTCCACTTTGCTGTCCTGGCTGATAATAATCCCTTTACTCATGGCTTTGTTGTGCTTTGGCCATATCAAAACCCTGCTTCTTTTCAATTTCACCCTAACTCAACACTTCCCTAAATCCTGTAAGAACCTGATGCTTTCCTTTGTTTGGGAAAGCACCTTAGAGCTCAGAGTGAGCTTTTCCCTATTATAATGAGTAAATGAGTCTGGCTTTGTTGGAGGATGGTTTGCCCCTGGTGGCATTTTCTGATTGGTCTAGAGCAATCAGGCTCCTTGAACATACTTTTTAAAAAAAGGACAGCTTGGAGACATTTAAATGTGAATTGCATTGTAGATGACTATAGGGCATTTTGCCAGATAAGAAAGTGGTATGGAGGTCATGTAAGGGAATACCATCTTTTTTTTAGTGGCGCTTATTGAAAGGTTGAGGGCAAAGTGTCATGAAACCTAATGACCTTGAAATATTTATTTTAAAAAGTAAATACCTTCTAGATACATAAAGATGAAGCAGATATGCAAAATGGTCATAAGGAGGTTGTGAGCACCAGTGCTTAATTTACAGTTTGCACTTTTCCTTATATTTGACAATGTTTACAAGAAAAAGTTAAACAAAGGGAACACACAAAATCCCTGCCCTTCACATCGTCCTGGCATGACCTTCATGCCAGAAGCCCCTGGAAGGTCACTGGGCTCACTGGCTGGCCTTGCTGTCCTGAAAGAGACCTTGCCCTATCAACTTCCTTGTCAACTTCTTAAACATTCTCATTGATTTTCTCATTGATCAGCAGAGGGATCTGGCAGCAGGAAAGGGTAGTGGCTCCTGGGTTGATGAGAGGAGAGACCCCTGGGTGTAAGGAATCAGTGAGGGGTCTCAATGGGTAGGCAACAACATGGAAACTCAAGTGGGATTGCAGGGAGGAGACAGAACCTTCCTGGCATTCTCATCTGGGTGATTCACTCAACTCATAGTCTCCCAGTTTGCTGAGGTTGGAGGCACAGATGTCGTATGTTCGTCACCAGTATTTTAGTTTGCAGTCAGCTAGTTGGGTGGGTTTGCTCCAGGACCTGCAGCTTCTGGGTCTAAAGGTGGTACTTGAACCTCAGGTGGGTGGAAGAGGCATGGAGAGAAAGTGAAGGGAAGGGGCTTTGAGGCTATGATTGAAAAATATCAGGAGGCGTAGGGGTCTGGAGTAGGGCAGGGCCTGGTCCCTGCTGTGGCCCTTGGACCAGTTATCTCCTCCCTTGAGCCTGTGCTTTCTACTTCATAGGCTTCTTGGTTTCATCTGTTGTTTCTCTTGAGGAGAAAAATCTTTGTTTTGTTCACTGCCGTGTGTACAGTGCCTAATGCACTGTCTGCACCTGGTAGGCCCCAAGACATGACTTAATTTTATTTATTTTCTGTCTTAAAATTTCATATACGGTATAAATTTTATAGAACAAATGACAGGAACCTTAAGCGCCCTCCTCAATGAATTTTAAAATGCGTGTGTATAAAAACTGTGCAAGTGGGCCTCCCCTGTTAGTGCAGGCGGTTGAGCGCTGCGCTGTGAGGCTGTCCACAGCCTCTGCAGCGCCGTTTCAGTCCTGGCCAGCCAGGAGGGTCCCACATGGCACAGCAGACCTCTCTTGTCTTGCCTGCTGCTCCCCTCAGCAGTGTATTTCGTCAGTCTGCCTATTCTGTTATCCGCTCTGTCTCTGGTGAATCCTCTTGCCCTCCCGAGCCTCTGGCCTGTACCCCAGTTCTTGTATAAATAAGCAAATCTTTAAAAATAAATAAATAAATAAAAACCGTGCAACTACCACCAGCTCAAGACTATTTCCAGCTGCCTCCGGCCTCTCTTGTACCCCTTCCTAATCAACGGCCCCCACATATAACCATTATTCTGACTCAGATCAACACCTATTAGTGTTGCCTGTTCTTGAACTTCACAGAAATGGGATCAAGAGAAATATATTCTTGGGCTTCCCAGGTGGTGCAAGGAGTTAAGCACTGCACTGTGAAGCAGTCCACAGTCTCTGCAGCACAAGTTTGATCTCCAGCCAGCCAGGGGGCTACCCACATGGCGCAGCAGACCTCTCCTGACTCACCTGCTGCGCTGCTCCCCTCAGCAGTGTGTTTCAGTCAGTCTGCCTGTTTTGTTCCCCACTCTGTCTCTGGTGAATCCTCTCACCCCCCTACACCTCTGGCCTGTACCCCAAAACTTGTATGCATAAATAAATCTTAGAAAAAAAACTAAGGTTTTGTTAAGTTTAGTAAAAATTTGTTAAATGCCTGGACTCATTTAAACTAAAAATTACTGGGCCTCTGTGGTGGCTCAAGGGTTAAAGTCAGCACTATCAAGCTATCAGCAGCCACAGCAGCACAAGCTTGATCCCCAGCCAGCCAGGGGCTACCCACATGGTGCAGCAGACCTCTCCTGTCTCCCCGCTGCTCCCCTCAGCAGTGTGTTTCAGTCAGTCTGCCTGTTCTGCTCCCCGCTCTGTCTCTGGTGGGTCCTCTCACCCCTTGCATCTCTGGCCTGTACCCCAGCTCTTGTATGAATAAATAAATCTTAAAAAAAAAGAAGAAAATATTCTTTTGTATGATACACTGTGAGATTCACCGTGTGTGTGTGTGTGTGTGTGTGTGTGTGTGTGTGTGTGTGTGTGCGCGCGCGCGCTGGGGGGTGAGGAGCGCTCGAGGACGCCCCTCAGGTGTGGGGCTCACGCCCCCAGGCTCTGGGGGGGCTCGGGACCTGCCACTTCCCGGGGATGCTGTGGCCTGGGCGGCTCAGGCCGTCGCGCGGTCACCTCAGGATTCGACAACCGCCCTCAGGGGTGGCGCGCGGACCCCGGCCGCTTCCGGGGCCGGCGCCGAGGGGCGGCGCGGAGGCCCGCGGCGGCCGCCCAGCTCCCCCGGGCCCACGCGGAGCGCCGAGGTGTGCGGGGCGGGGCGGGGCGGGGCGGGGGGGCGGGGCGGGGCCGCCTGCCCGTGACGCGCCCGCCAGCCAGGCGGCGTCGCGGCCCCGCTCCTCTCGCCGCCCGCCTCGCCGCCCGCTCCCGCCGCCGGGCCCGTCCGCCCGCCCGCCGCCCAGCGCCCGCCGCCCCGTGCCCGCCGGTGCCCGCCGAGCCCGCGCCGGCCGCATGGCGCTCCGGGGCTTCTGCAGCGCCGATGGCTCCGACCCCTTCTGGGTACGTGCTGGCGGCCGCCCGGGCCGCGCGGGGCGCCGGGGGGCGGCGGGAGGGACGAGGCGGCGGCGGGCCGCCCGGGCCCGCCTCCCGGACCCCGCGGCCCACCCGGGGCGCCGCGCCCGCCTCGGCCGCCGGCCGGGGGCCGCTCCCCGCCGCGCCGCGCCGGGCCCTTGGCGGGCGGCCGGCGGGGAAACTTGAGCGACTCGGCTCCCGAGAAGCCGGGAGGGGTGCAAGTGCCAGGCCCCGGGGGTGGGTTGGAGAGGTGAGGGGCCAGTGCCTGGGGGGGACACTGAAAACAGGGGCCCCTCCCGCTTCGGGGTGACCGCTCCCGTGACTACGACGGGGGCGCCCGAGATGAGGCTGTGACAGGGTGGTCCTCACCCTGCCCTGTATCAAGGCCAGGGGAGCAGGTGGTCCTTCTGCTGAAGTCCGGCCATCTCCTTTGTGGGTTGGGGTCCCCTCCTTTTACAGAGGACACCCCATTACCAAAAGGGCTGAGTGGGGAGGGATTGAGCGGGGCTTGACCTCTGCCCGGTAGTTTTGCATCCACATTGCTCTTCCGTGGTGATAGGTTTTTGTCGTATTTTACTTTCTTTCTACCTGATTTCTGTGGGGAGAATTTGGGGGGAGGGGAGGAATTTGAGAAGTTTGAGGTGCAGGCCAGAAAGAAGGTAGGGCTGCTCACCCCTGCTTTGTCTCTTCCCTGACCCTGGGGTCGGATTTGGGGTGCCTGGAGGATGCCCGGGGCCCTGGTACCTGTGGGTGTGCCATTCCACCCTGTAAAGTGAGTTTTCTCTCTATGGGGGGCCCCCTCTGGGTTTTACGGTGCAAGTTTCTTCTGAATGTTCTTTGCTGAGCCTGGCTGGGTCTCTTTAATCCCTGTCTTTTGAGCCTTAGCTTCCTTCTAATGCGATTTGCCCCTTTGTTGGAGGAGGGCACTTCAGTGTCACCCTGTGTTGCTTATTGGTGAACACAATAGGCAAATCTGGACACGATCATTTTTTTGCTTTTGTTTAGGACTTGGGAGAGAGAGAGGGAAACACCCTTGGCTCTTAGAACCTGGTGATTAGCATCCAAAAATACCTTGCCCTGTTTCCTTGTAGGCTGCATTTGGAGCTTTGTAAAGGCTTCCTTGAAACCCATGGAAAGGTTTTATTTTGGGGGGCCTGGGGGAGGATCTCATTTGGGAGCTCCTTGGCATATCTCACATTTTCAAGCCAGTGGGGCCAGAGATTTTAATTTTACTCCATGGCTGAAAGTAGTACCCATGCTTTGCAGTCAGGGCCTGGGAGCCACGGGAGAACGGACCTTTTGCAAAGCAGGGCTCTACCTAGCAGAGAGGATAACCTGGGGTCCCTGTCCCCCATGCTGAGTGTAAGATGACTTCTGCAAGGATCCAGACTGGGAGCTCATCTAGTGTTGCTGTGAATTCTGGAGTATTTCCTTGTTTGTTTTTTCTCCTCAATTACAGAGAGGAAAACATTGGCAGTCATAAAATAGATCCTGCATCAGGATGAATTTATTGATGTCAGCTGGCAGTTGGTGGCTAGTGGAGTTCTTCAAAGTTGAATGTGTTTTTGGGGTGGGGGGTGGTGTTCATTTAGCTGACAAAGCACATCCAGGAAAGTCATTTGTATTTTTCCTCCTTCCAAGAACTTTTTGCTACAGAAATTGCCAGGTGGTTGGGTTCTGCTTAGCATTCCCTCTTCCCCCAATCTTGGGTCTTGACGATTTTCCTCTGTCCCTCCCTTTGCATTCCTGGGCTTGCCCAGTGCCCCAGATTTATGGGGGTGGCCTGGAACCAGATTTTGAGAGCGGGTAGCTTGGGCATGAGAATTTCCAGAGGGCAGGGAAAAAAATCAGCCTTTATAAGATGGCAGGGAATGTCTGTTTTCTGGGGCATCAGGCTCAAGGCTGGGAGAGACTGGTTTCCCAGCTAGTTAGATACTCTGTGACCCTGGGCCAGCCACTTTGCAAACTCTCTGTCTCAGTTTCTTCATCTGTGAAATGGGGGCTGGGCCCCCAGAGCCCCAACCTCTGCTGGTTGTCATGAAGAGTAAGTGGGTCACCTGTGGAAGTGGCTCAGCTGGTGTCCTGCACGGAGTTAACCAGTAATTATTATTTCCGAAGATGAAGTTGTATGTTTCAAGTTGGTTCTCCTTCCTTTGGTCCACTCTTCTGTTGCTGGGGATGCCCACCGCGGCTGGCTCACTCCCCTGACGGTGGTCTTGTGCTTAGTCAAGGTGACTAGCCCACGTGAGACTTACTAGAACTCCTTTCTGGGCCACTGGCTGCCTCTGAACTGCAGGAAGTGCCCAGAAAATCCAGAACTGGAAAGTGACCCATGCGGGCTTCTGCTGACTTACTGCCTTTGCTTGGGCAAATGCTCCAGGATGAAAAAAGGGGAACTTTGGAATCTAAATGGAAATAGGCTGAATTCCCCAACACTTAACTTGAGGCAGGAAGTCACAGTGGAGTGGGGGTTTGGGGGAGCAGGTATTTGGGGGAGACTCATGAAGGCCCATGTTCCCCGCCTCCCAGCTGGACCTGCTTCCAAATGTGGTGGTGGGAGGGGTGTGGATGAAAAATGTCTTTCCATTTGTGGGCTCAACTATTTGGAACTGGTATCTTCACCTGGGTGTCCCATGGGCCTCTCCAGTGCACTGTGTCTCCATAGACTAGAAACTTCTCCTCTTGTTCTATATCTGATCTGTCAGCAAATTCTGATGTCTCTTCTTCAAAATGTTTCCCAGTCTGCCTACTTCTCACAGACTCCCCAGCCTGAGTCATGATGGATATACCCTATCCCTATCCTTGACCCCTCCAGTCTACTTTCAACAGCTGGAGGTCCCCCCGAGACAGGTCAGATCCTGCCCCTGTTCTGCTGAAAACCATCCCTCAGAGGTCAGCATCTGACCCTATTGCTTCTCTACCCTCTTCCATTTCTCACTCCAGGCCAGCCATGCTGGCTACCAGACTGCCTCAGGGCCTTTGCACTTGCTGGTTGCTCTGCTTGAAATACTCCTTCACCTTCACTTCCTTGTTCAGATGTCTACTAAGCAACCTTCCCTTGACTCCCTGCGCTTCCTTGTATGCCCAGTTCTTCTCTGCTACCCCATCTACCCCATGGCTACGCTACTGCCACCTAATATACAAATATTTTATTTATTTTGTTTATGCTTTATAACTTTCCACCAAAAGGTAAACTCCATGGGGTCTTGGGTTTTTGTTTGTTTTCATGGCTGTGATCCCAGCACCTAGACCAGTGCCTGAGACCTGTTAGATACTCAGTAAATATTTGTTGAATGAATGAATGACATGAAGCCCTGGAATGGCTATTGTGCAGGGCTGACGCTTATCTCCAGAGATTGCTAAGGTCGAGATTGTCACTCACCTGTCTGGGTAGACAGAGTCTTTTAGCTTCTGCATTTAGTTGCTTGTATTTTATCTTGCAAGGGTCAGAACTGGGTCCCACTCATTTCTCTTTTTGCAAGCCCCAGTGCCTCTCTTGCACACAATAGGCTCAATCAACATTTGGATTTGAGTGTCTGCCATACAAACAAGTTACAGACTGGAGGGGGTTAGACCCAGCCTATCACTTTGCTGGTTTGTCTTTTTTTTTTTTTTTTTTAACTGATGAATTGCTGTAACAGCTATTGTGTACTGATTGGGAGATTTCACGGAAAAATCTGGATTTCTGACTTCTGAAAAATCAGAAACTCTGAAAGCACAGGACCTGCATTTGTATATGGCAGTGATTGACTGCTGCTGCCTCCTCTAGAACATGTCTGTTTGTTCCAGTTTGCCACGGTTCCAGAAGGCTTATTGTACCTTCCTTATTGTACCTTCAATTCCAAGGCCAAATGTCTGCTGCCTTTTTTTATTGTGCATTTTCAGCTGGCCCACTCCCCTCATTGATAAAGCCCACCCAGCCCCTGTGTGCATTTGGATTGGCATCTCCTGCTTTGAAACCCAGCCTTTTGGTGAAATGATTGGGAGTGGTTGGAATTGCCAACAGAGACCCTGGCTCCTATAAGATCCCGTTGGCAGGAGGAGTTGGAGAAGCTAATCATTTGCATGTGAGCTCCAGATTTTCATAGTGGGATAAAGGGGCGCTTTTATTATCAGATCGTAATGGTCAGTAAAACTCTAGCCTACAAAAAAATGTTCCTGAACATTTGGCAAAAAGAATTATCAAGTGCTAATGAAGTGGATTAGTATAATGACAAGGACTTAAATGTCCTGAGACTTCCCCCCCAGTGGGGCCAAAACTGGGCTAGTGTCTGCCCTGGTGGAGGCCTGGGCTGGGCATTTACCTCCTGAAGGCTAAGGATTGGCGGGGAGGGGGACTTTGAGAGAGTCAGTGTTGGGGGGGGGTGTTGGGTGCTCACCTGTCTCAACCTTGGCATATTTGGGACCAGCTACTTCTTTTGTGGAGGCTGATGTGTCAGGAGGATGCTTACTTATTAGCAAGCATCCCTGGTCGCTACCCACTAGCAGCGGTAGCACAATTCTTGTTGTGACAACAGAGATGTCTCCAAGATATTATCAGATGTCCCCTGGGTGGCGAAGTCACAAAGCCCTCAGTGTGGAGGAATCTGGGGAAGAAATTTTCGGCAAGACATTCACCCTCATCCCCTGTGTGTGTTTAGGCTGTTGAACTGGTGTCATTGGCTTATTCGGGTCGCCTTGGAGAAACTTAATGAAACGGAAAGAGACATTAAACCCCCATTAGCTGGAGAAGGAACGCAGTGGTTTCCATGCTGGTTTCTGCACTTGCTGTGACTGCTGTGTTTTCCTCCCCTGATCTGCTCTGGTTGGAGCCTGTGCGGCCACGGCTGGGTGAAGATGCCTTTCTTCAGAGCTTCACTTTGAAGTTCTTTGCCTTCATTTTAAACTGCCCCAGGATAGACCAACAATTACAAAGTGGAGATTAGACTAAGTGTCCCTTTGGTTTAATTGTGGGAGTCATCTCCTGGGAGAAGCTGGAAACTGGGAGT